ACAACAACACAAACAAGACTCCACCAAACTAAAATTAAAGATGGGTAGGAAATTACCCTGGACTGAGTGGCCAGAGTCCCAGCTTGCCGCTGACTAAGCAAGTGCTTCTGAACCTTCTTAACTCTACGACACTTTAATACAGTTCCTCATGCTCTGGTGACCTCCAACCATAAAATCATTTTATTGCTACATTGTAACTAATTTTGCTACTGATATGAATCATAATGTGCACATCTGATATGCAGGATGTCTGATGTGACCCACAGGTTGCAACCCATTGGACTAGACTCTCAAATCTATCAACTATGGCCATCTGTTAGGGCACCTGCCTTCAGGGTGACGCTGTTTACATTTGCTATGAAAAAGTTTAGTTCCACTCAGATCTATTGCTTCCACAAGCTGTGTATCTCTCCACGTGGACCTCCTGGGTTCTGATCACAGACAGGTCAATATGGATGATTGAAGGTTCAATCTGTGTCCACAGCTGATAAACAGCTAGGAATACGCATTTTAGAACCAAAGACAATAAGAACTGGAGTAGATTGCATTTCAAATACGGGGATGTTTGGGTCCAGGAATATTTCATACCGTACAACTGGCACAGTAGAATAGACGAGTGTTCTTTCCACAATATTACACCTTCATGATAGAATAAAACAATGATATCGTTATTCGGTGCCTACTAACAACAAACATTATGCTCAAAATAAAAGTTATTTCCATAAAGTTCAAATCCAGTGCAAGAAATCATCCAGGGCCCTGGATATTGACACCTGCCATATGCCACATATCAGACAAGGCACTAAGCATTTTATATGCATTACCTTCATAGTGCATTATTATTAAGCACACCTCTATGAGGGATGTGTCGTTATAGTACCCATTTTGCCAGTGAGCATACTAAATGGAGAGAAACTAAGAACTGAACAGAAATTAACTTGCAAAGTACAGATGTAGTTGAGCTGGTGGGATGCTTGCTCAGCATTCACAAGGAAAGCCCTGGGTTCTACCCCCAGCACTGTTTAAAACCAGGCATGGCAGTGCATCCCTGTCATCCCAGGAGGTAGAGGCAGGAAGATCAGAAGTTGGAGGCCAGCCTGAGCTATATGGGATTCCTTCTGTCTCTCAGATAATTAGTTTTTAAAGCCATGCTGTCCCTGGTAATGCCATTATTGATGCATATGACAAGTGGTACGTCACTTGTGTCCTTTTCTTTTGTAAAAAAACAATCATCATCGGATTACTTGTTTTTCTTGGCATTTTGAGAAACACAAGAACACTCTCCTGCTGGCATCCCCCACTACCACACTTTGCCCCCTCCAAACACATACATACAGGCACCATTCGGAAAACTCCATTCCATCAGTCACATCCCCCCTGAGAGGAGTCCATGCATGGAATGGAAAGAACACCTCCATTCTCTCAGTAGATACAGCCTCTGAGTCAACCAGGGCTCTTCCTTCATTAAACTCCACATCAAACCTCTTGGCAAACGGCTAGCCCCCTTCTTGAGAATGATGCATCTCCTTCATTGCTTTTTTTTCTGTCACAGATTCTCATGAAGCCTCAGCCTCCATACCAACTTTTTTCCAAATACAATCTGTTTTTTATTAAAAAATGGTCCTGAGGGTTCCCTTTGAAACTGTCCAAAGATTGCCGGATCACTCAGAGTGAACATGAAAGTTCTTCTAACACCCAGGGGCTGGCATGGCCCAGCTTCTCCTTCTCTACTCGCCCACCACCTCACTGTCTGCTTTCCCTCATCCAGCCATATCGCTTTCTCCCTCCCCTCCTCAACACTCTGCTCTATGGGAAGCAGAATGATGGCCACAGGTATGCACATGCTAATTCCAGGTAGTTGTGAGTGTTCCTTAATATGGCAACACGGACTTGTAGGTTAAACCAAACTAAGGCTCTTTAAATGGTACTCTCCTAGGTTATTATTAGGTCCAATCTAACCAAGCTTGTCTTACCAGAGAGATATAAAAGAATAAGGGGGAAGAGGAAGAGGAAAGGGAGAGGAGAAAAAGGAGGAGGGGGATGAAGAGAACATGATGAAAGTAGAAACTGAGAGAAGAGATGAGGTGATAGGCCTACACCACATCAACAGCTTCTAGGAGCTGGAAAAGACACAGAAAGAGAGTTTGTCCTGGAGCCCAACAGCACAGCGTTGCCTTACCCTGGTCAGTGCAGGCATAATAACTTCCAGAGCCTTAAGACAGTGTCTGTGCTGTTCAAGCCACTAAAGTTTCAGTCTTTTGTCACAGCAGCAATAAGAAATAGATGTACGCATCTCTTATATAATAGTTGTTGCTAGTGCTAGCAGCTGTCTACAGTTTCTATTTACACGGTTGCTGTCTGTCATTTTACAAAGCCAGCACATGTCACAAATATGGCTGGGAGGACCAGATAGATGAAGTATTTTAAGTGTCTGGTTGATGCTGAAATGAACCTCAACATGAAGTTGCTTGAACATAACAGTCCTCCCCATAAATCCATTTCACATTGTCGCTGATGTGCCCAGAAGGGGAGGGAGCATGCATAAATCAGTCAGCTAGGACTACAGCCCTGGTTACCAGCACTGAAGCAGAAAATGCAAGGCTTGGAAGCCTCAGTCAGCTAGGAAGATGGCTAACCATATTGTCCTTCCAATGGGACATCCCAGCAGACATTCCAGAGAGCTTGGAGGAGAAAGGAACCCACAGAGGTCACACCACACTGATGCCCTCTACACCTGTCCCAGCAGAGCAGGGTGGAGAGAGGCATGGAGTTGGGAAATGGGGCTCTAACTGTGGCTCTTCCCACAGGATGTTGCAAAACATCCCTTCTCAAAGTTCCCTCGTGGGAACTGAGATCAATAGTATAGTCGATGGCCTCTTCCTAATATAATGTTGCTAAGACACAACATCAGCTCAAATGGCTTAAGTCCAATATCCATTTTAGAGAAGGAACAATTGAGGACTCCCTTGTTACTGTCAGGCAGCATCTCTCATTGCTGGTAAAGGCAGGCGACACCACATTCCTTTCTGCTATATCCGTTTGGCTCAAACCCCAAGGCCAGGATAATTTTCCAAATTTACAAATCATGTCCTGATGGGCCAATGAGGATGATAATGGCACTCCCTATCTTGCTTCATGAAGTCATGTGGGTACTTCTGTCTTGAGAAGAAATACATCTAGTTTCCACTTCTTCAAAAGTGCGTTTTAACGCCGTGATGTCAATTTGATGTGGACACAGACATGGGCAGGCTGATTGATGCCACCTCCTCCATGGAGCCTCTACTGACTTCTCCTTGCACCGCTCAGCATCTCCTCAGAGCACACACAGCGTTCCACGGCCCCGTCTCTTATACCATGTCCACCGCCCTTCTGTCCCATCTCTTACAACATGGCATCCGTTTCTCAAGGGCAAAAGTCATATCTTCCCCATTTCTTCTCCCCGAGGTTGCTTGGCATGGTACCACTCGAGTCTGAAGTGAGGTTTCCAAAAAGTAAATTGAGGGAGGTAAAAGACACAAGACAAAGTACAAAGCAGTGCACCTTGAAGTGTTCAACGGGCAAAGTTCACTTCACTAGCAGTCTGTTGGAAACCATAAAGGGGGGAGATTACCATGGAATGGGGAGTTCCACAGGTCCATAGAGTAATTTTGCTTTTGAAGCAAGGCCTCATGTAAGCCAAGTTAGCCTGGAATGAAGCCAACAACGACCTTGGACTTCTGAGCTTCTTGTCCACACCTTCCTGAGCTGATTAGATTTCCGCCAGCACTGGAGGTTTTATGTGATGCTCAGGATGGCATGAGGTGCACGTGCTGGGAAGAGCACTACCAACTGAGGCACATCCCAGCCCCCAAAGCAGCCTTGACCTTGTCCTCTCACGTGTGTGTGTGTGTGTGTGTGTGTACGCAGTGTGTGCTTTGGGTGCATGCATGTGTACCTGCACGCAGGAACATGAATAGAAAGGTCTACAGCTGACATCGACAGTCTTTTTTATTGCTTTTATGCTATTCATTGAGGAAGAGTCTCTCAGCTGAATCGAGAGCTTGACAATTCAGTTAATCTTGATAACCAGCTTGTTCCAGGGTAGCCCTGTCTCTGCCTTATGAGCCAGGGATACCCACCTGGCATTTACGTGGCTCTCGAGATCTGAACTCCACCCCTCACACTCGAGCAGCTTGGCTTTAACCACTGCATCATGTGCCCAACCTTAGTATTCATTCTTATTAGCAAGAAATAACAGTAACACAGTAATGTGTTTTCACATGAAAACATTTATGTGAAGATGAGTATTATGTGGATTGGTGGGGGTTGGAGAAGAGGGGTCTGCCATGTGGATTGATTTATTTAACTCGGAACCACTTTATATTTTAATATTAATCATGGTCATAACCTTTTTGACATTAACAATGTAAGTCAAAGATCAGCAAACGTCTTTGTTTTGCTATCGTAGGCATTAAATATTAACACGAGGTTGGCATCTTGGAAATTGTCAAATTATTTTACAGCATTAGATCTGAGTTTTATTGGTGTTGACAGAGCAAGTACAATGACAGACACAGCCTTTTCTGGCCAACTCTCTGAAGTATGTGGGACCTTAGAAATGCAAGAAGGAGACTCTGAAGCCCCTGAAGGGAGATAAGACTTTCTCTTGCTGGCTTTAGTTTCATTTTCTTTTTAAAAGAAAATAACATTGACAAAGGAAATTTAACCAAGCAGGAAAAATGAAGTTTACATCTGCTCACTCATTTAAACTGTTAGAAAGCGCTCTTCCTGTGGTTTATAAAAGCCGATGATTAAACACACACACTTTAAATGGATTTTCTAATTTGGATCATGAGAAGTCCTGAAGCTATTCCACATGACCAATTTAATCATCTCTGCTCCGGGGGCTGGGTGGTGACCCACTCGCCAGGAAAACATATATTGTTTCCTGATCCACGGAGCAAAACACAACACTGAACACTTTACCCTGTGTAGGTGTGCCTGTCACAGACAGCCCTTACCTTCACAAACAGGAAGATCTCGGGGCTGCTGGAAGCTACTTTATTTCCCTCCAGACCAGTAGCATCGAAAGGGCAGGTAGGGAAGTCCAGGCCAGTGGAAAAGGCCCTGCTGTGCTGAACTGTGAAGCTCAGTAAAGAAGGCAACTCTTTCTTGGTCATCCTTCCATTCTCCTCCAGCTCCTTTTGGAGAGGCTCTGGGTCCTGGCTTGATGGGTGTGAGTCTCCCACAGAGATGTCTCTGACCTCCTGGGGCTCAGAAAACACCTCATCAGGCAGGAGGTAGCCTTCTGCTTCAGGCTCCGGGGAGGCTGGGGTGGCCTCTTCCCTTTTCGAGACATACACCGACAAAGAATCATATTCATGGCTTTCTAGCCTAGTGGCGTATAGATCATTTTCAGCCCACAAGTCTTCATGGACTTCGTCATATAAAGGAGTATCATTTTCCTCCAGTGGGTCTGGGTTCTCATCCTTCCTCTCCTTTTGGATTGTGTCATAGATGTCACTGTAGTCTTCATTCATGTTGCTTGGTCTGGAAGATCCTTTTCCAGGCAGAGCTGAGAAAAGCTATGGAAAGGGCTAAAGGATATTGCTTTGCCACTGAGAACAGGAATCAATGGGCTTTTAAAATACAGCCCTTCACCACAGCTATCAGTGACAGGTCTCTAGCAATCATTTACCGGAGATTTAATACGCAAACCACGAACCCATTGGATGGAAGATAAAGTTCACCTGCATGGTTAACTCCTTCTCCACTGAAGACACTCTCAACTAGATGCTGGTGTTTCCTCCACTTCCAGCAACTCAAAGAAGTTGAAGTATCAATCCAGTCCATGTTGCAATTCAGAACATTTAGCCTCTCGTGAATCATAGAGTCACCCTCCGCTGCAATCACTCTCACTGCTGACCCCAAACAAGAGATCCCCACAAATCAGGGGAGGATTGTATCTCAGTGTAAACCTGTCTGCTTTCAGCTGAATTCATTATACAAATGATTTTTTTTTTCAAATTGATGCTCTATGGCATGAATCCCACACAGCCCAGCTAAGTAACCTTTTTTATTCACAGTTCCTATCTGGAAACACCAGTGGGTGATTAAATGGCAGAAGGGAAAGAAGATAAGTGCCTGTGGGCGCATCGATACACACCACACAAAATGAGACTCAAACATTCGGGGCTTTGGTTTTAACCCCACTTCCCTCATATTGTACAGAGTCGTCCACAGTGAACAGATGTCCACTAAGATGCCCTCCTACATAATATTCTGAACCAAGCACTAAACCAAAGAAGTAGAAGATAACTCTCCCGGGAAGGAAAAGTAAATCCCAACAGACCTAGAAAAGCTGTGTGAGGTGTTAGGTGCAATTGACCTTAGCTTGTGATGTACAAGACCACCTGGTAGCTGTCCTCTGTAGACGCTGCTCATCTTCCTGTGACTCCTCTTTGCTCTGTGGTTTGGTGCTCTATTCTACTAAGACCCGTTTCTCTTCAGCATACAAGTTGTACGTCTTTCTGAAGTGAAATTCATGCAGGGTGTAAATGAATTCTAATGCCTAGAAATCATCTGAAAAGCAATAAGCATCATAGTCCTGGTTCAAAAGCTTCAAAGCATTTGGGTTTGGTATGTTATAGCCACAGTATATTATGTCCCGAGGCTTCTACAGAAACTTCCAGAGCAAACTTAGCTTTGAGTGAAGGTAAGGACTAGATAAGGGGAAGGAAGTAGAGATGGATCTTAAAGATTGATGACATTAAATCTTTTGCTTATTAGACAAGTTCTATGTGATCCTAAGTGGTCTGGAACTTGCTTTGTAGACCAGGCTGGCCTCAAATTCCCAGAGATGGCCTTCCTGTGCCTTCGAAGTGTTGGCATTTTGAACTATTTATCTTACTGAAAAAGTTTAATATATCCAGATGTCTGATAAATTATCTTCGGTTCCAGAGCTAGATAGCCATAATAGTTCAAATTTTCTTCTTAACCTTAAAACTTTATATAACCTAACACATATGGTTATATAAATATAACCCTTGACATCCGTTTAACATTTTATTTCAGGTTTGAGATACAAAGACAAAAATAGAACACAGAAATGGAAGCATATGTTCCCAAGTTAATGACAATTGATATCAGCTCTGGTTCTCAAACCTTTAAGGGATGGGGCAAGAGCTGGAGAGATGGCAAAGCAAGTGTTGCTGTTGCAGAAAAACCAGGTTCAGTTCTCAGCACTCATGATGGTTCACAATAATCTGTAACTCCAGTTCCATTGGCTCTATTGCCCTCTTCTGACTGCTAAGGGCACTGTATGCACATGGTAACATACCTCTATGCAGGCAGACACTCATACACATAAAATAAAATTAATAAAAATTTAAAACCTCCCAGCACTTGGGAGGCAGAGGAAGGTGGATCTCTGTGAGTTCAAGGCCAGCCTGGTCTACAAAGAGAATCCAAAACATCCAAGGTTACAAAAGAGAAACCCTGTCTGGAAACCCTCCTCCTGCCCCCTCCCAACTTAAAACTTCCAGGTGTGTGATCACTCTGCTACTCCACCCTTTAGTGTTTCCAATTATTTTGTTCATGATCACCCCCACAAGCCTTAACCCCATAGAGAAAGACAAATCTTTTGTTTTCTAAGAACCAATTAGGATCTCGGTGGTGGTGACATTGCTCTTCTGTGTAATGTATACTACTTCCTGAACAAAATGTGCATCTCTTCTAGGCCAGCCTATGTCACTACTCAAAAACAATACTCTACAGCTGTGCATATCTGTATAGAACACGTTTTAGGTACTTTTCTAATTGCCGTGGCCAAATATATGACCAATAATGGGTTTATGGAAGGGTGGGTTTATTTTGGCTTGCAGTTTTAAAGGACACAGTCTACCATGTCAGGGAAAGCATGGCAGCTGGTCTCACTGCGTCCACAGGGATAGAGAGAGAGAGAGATGAGCACCGATGCTTGCCTGGCTCTCTCTCTCTCTTTCTCTTTTTAGTCATACAAACATCCTAGAATGCTGTCACCACATTCTGCGTGCATCTTCTCTATTCACTCATTTTTATTTTTATTTTTATTTTATTTCAACAGGCCCAGAGGTATATCTCCTAGCTGATTCCAAACCCAGTTAAGTTGACGATGAAGATTAAATCAGCACTGCCTATCATTGGATTCTTGTAGTGGCTCAGTGAGGTATACCCAAGCCTGTTGAAGTTTAGGCTCCAAGGTCACACAGATAGAGTTTCTCATTTATCTTTGTCATGATATATATAGTCGTAGGCTATAAAACAAACAAAGCATTCTGTTGAAGGGCAAGCTGGCTCATGTCACTTCCTGCTCCCATCAGCAGTGAGTGGTTCCCCATTCTTCTCAGTAAAATCTAAAGTCCTCACACTAGCCCACAAAACTTGCATGAATTAAATCCCTTCCCCATTCCAATCCTACCCTAGTCACACTGGCTTTGTTGCCAACACTGGAGCACTACAGAAACTTGTTTAAGAGAACCTATTGTCTGCTGTTTCTAGCTGGAGAATACCTCCTCTGAATATCTACCATCAATTCTCAAACTCCTACAGATTTTGCTCAGGTGTCCCCTTCTCAAGAAGGCTACTCTGACCATGCTGCTACAGTAAGAACAAGGTCCATTTCTTCTTTGCCTATCATTGTAGGTCTAAAGCCTCTTAGACGTCTGACATGCCCAAGGGATTGTTAGCCATTTCGCAATAAATAAAACAGAAGAGATGTGCAGAAAATTCATATTCTGCTTTCTTTACCCCACTTGTCTGAGTGTTGTCTCATCACATCACACTATATCATAAACTCAGCCAGGACAACACTGGGGTCAATGTCTATTACAATTTGGATGCTAAATGCCCTCCCCCCACACCCCACACAGGCTCATGTATCTGAAGATTTGTTTCTCGAGGTGGCATTGTTTTGGGGGAGATTATAGAAGCTAGCCAGAGGAAGTTGATGTCTGGTGGAACGGGCACTGGAGTTAACAGCTGGCTGCTCCTGTCCCATTTTTGTTTTCCAGGGTCCAGAATGTAAGAAACTATGACACAAGCTACTATCATCACAGCCAGAGTCCCGGATGCTACAACTCTGCCACCTTGAAAGTGAGAGCTAAAATTAACTCTTGTTCTAAGTTTCGTCAAGTTCTTGGCAGCAATGACTAGTTCAGTATGTTTTTCTGCATTGTACACATTTAATGTGATTTAATTGATGCAAGACTAGCAAATACGCCCAAACTAGTTCACTTTAAACTAAAAAGCATATATATGCTTTTTAGTTTATATATATATATTATATATATATATAAATTATATATATATATATATATATTTTTTTTTTTCCCCTATTTGTATGTTTGTACACCTCCTGCATGCAATGCCCACAGAGGCCAGAAGAGAGCATCAGATCCAGGTCTGGGAACTGATTCTCAGGTTCTCTGCAAGAGCAGCTAGTGTTCTCAACTATTGAGCTGTCTTCCCTATTGCCAAAATGCAGTGTCTTCACAGGAGTACAGCCATTAAATAGAACCAAATCAACATAATATGTGTGCTATTTTAAGAATCTGAGGTACTAGCCACCTTTTTTAACTCCATTTTTTTTTTTTTTGCTTTAAATTACTTTGTAATTTAAATTACTTTGTAAAATGCTTTGCACCTTTTCTTTGTTTCTCAGTCTTACTATGAATTGATCCTTTTAACTCTCTTTTGGGAGAACCTAGACTTCATTAATTATCTCTAAAATGTATTTATGTGCCAATTCATTCATTTCTACACTGATGTTTATTTTCTATTTTCTTCCCTCTTGTGGTATATTTTACTGGTGTTTTTAAAATAAACTTCAACATAGTTGAGATGTATTTTTAAATCATTGCTTTTTCTCTTTTTGTCTTTTTTCTAATGAGACTATCTGAGCCTGTGAATTCTGGGCTTCTTCCAGTTGGCCCCACAACATAGGTGGGTGCTGATAAGCTAGCAAAAGAAGCTATGGATTCATCTCCAGACCACACATGTTTTATATATTTTGTTTTCATTATCATCTAATTCCAAATATGTTCTACTTTCTGTTTATCCCCCTTTACCCACTTACCCACTACTCATTTGGAAACATGCTGGTTAGCTTCCAAATAGTTGGTGCTTTGGGTTTCTTTTCTTTTCTCTTTTTTTAAACTTAATTTCACTGTAGTGAAAGGATATATCATTATGACTTAACGGAATTTGAAACTTGCTTTTGTCCTAGAATATTTGGAATTATTGCATGCACATGTGAAAATAATATACATTTCTCTTCAATTGGGGAGTGATTAATAGGTCATAACTAATTTATTTATTAATCTTTAGTAAATTATTTTAAATGTCCATTGGGTTTTTGGTTTTGTTTTGTTTTGTTTTGTTTTGAGACAGGTTCTCACTATGTAGACTAGGCTGGCCTCAAACTCACAGAGCTAGGCCTTTCTAGTTCTAAGGAAAGTTAAATATTTCCTCATAAACATGAATTCTTCCTTCCTTCCTTCCTTCCTTCCTTCCTTCCTTCCTTCCTTCCTTCCTTCCTTCCTT